ACTGCTTACGTTAATGTCCGGTTAATGAAACTTGTTGCAGGCTTCGCACAACATTGGAGTTGCTATGGACACAGAGCAAGGTTTAATTGTCCCAAATGTAAAAAATGTTCAAGTCTGTAGTGTGTTTGAAATTGCTTCTGAATTAAATCGCCTACAGTCCTTGGGCTCTGCAGGCCAACTGGGAACAAATGACCTCACTGGGGGAACGTTCACCCTTTCAAATATTGGCACAGTAAGTACAGGAAAAATCATAGAATCATTAAGGTTGGAAAAGACCTCTAAGATCATGAAGTCCAACCGTCAACCCAACACCACCATGCCCACTAAACCATGTCCCTAAGCGCCGCATCTACATGTCTTTTGAATATCTCCAGGGATGGGGAGTCAACCACTTCCCGGGCCAGCCTGTTCCAATGTTTAACTTGGGAGAAGAGACCGACCCCCACCTTGCTACAACCTCCTTGCAGGTAGTTGTGGAGAGCGATGAGGTCTCCCCTCAGCCTCCTTTTCTCCAGGCTAAACAACCCCAGTTCCCTCAGCCGCTCCTCATCAGACTTGTTCTCCAGACCCTTCACCAGCTTCGTTGCCCTTCTCTGGACACGCTCCAGCACCTCAATGTCCTTCTTGTAGTGAGGGGCCCAAAACTGAACACAGTATTCGAGGTGCAGCCTCACCAGTGCCGAGTACAGGGGCACGATCACTTCCCTGCTCCTGCTGGCCACACTATTTCTGATACAGAAATGAGAACTTATATCTGAAAACTGCTTCTGAAATGAATACCTTAGTGAAGTTTAATATGCAGTGAACAAAACCTGTAGCAATTAATGCAAGAGGCAATCTGCTTTAAAAAAAAAAAAATTGTTAGCTAATATCCCCAGCTTTTTCTTTTCTAGATTGGTGGCACTTATGCCAAACCAGTGATACTACCTCCTGAAGTAGCTATTGGAGCACTTGGAAAGATACAGGTATATTAACTTTATCTCAGTGATGTGAGTGTTTAGCTCTAGCTAACCGAGGTCACCTGCAATGAAAATGAAATGTGGAGTGTCCCTTTGTTTTGTTTTTCTTATATAAACATTTCCTCTTTATGTTACAGAAACTGCATAGCTTGCGATTGAAAAGTTTTGTGATGTTTTTAGATGACTGTGCAGAGACATCAAAGGTTTAAATAGAAGTCCCTTATGCCAAAGGTTCAGATTTGCTTTCTAGAATCTGGTTATATTTCACTCACATCTATGTTTAGCCTTCTTGTTATTAAGAAACAAGGTAAATTAATTTTTTACAAGTTTTGCAACATGGCGATAGCCATTCTGCTGTCATCAAGGAGAAAACTTGAGACTAACAAAGTATTCTGATAATGAAGCTTAATTTCACAAGCCAGATAACTGAATCCATACAGAACTTTGTATGGTGAAGGCACTTTCATATTTTCTGAATTTCAGGCTTTAATTCTTTAATATAGACATTTGAGATCAATGCTGGAAATGAGATTAGTATTAATTTAAAACACTCTTCCTATGTTCTTCCTATGAGCCTTTTGTTTAGGGAATGCTTTAAGGAAACTGTCACTTTGAGCACTAACAATGCAATAAACTATTCAGGAAGAAACTTTTGAGTCAAGAAAAGTTTTTACTGCTTCAGTATTTCCATGATGCTGGAAACAGGATATGACTGTTTATTACGTAGGTTTGCAATATATTCTAATCTGCAGCACGAACAATAATGGCAAGGTCTTTTTTTTTGAATGGTACTACTGCTGTCTGGCTAATTTAGCAAAATGTTTAAATTTAGATTAACAAATTAACAACCAAAAAATACAGATTTGTTAATGAAAGTATTTAATATTTCTATTTTTTCCTTCCACTGATTTTTAGGTTCTTCCTCGGTTTAATGGAAAAGGTGAAGTATTTAAAGCACAGATAATGAATGTGAGTTGGTCAGCTGATCACCGCATCATTGATGGAGCTACAATGGCCCGGTTTTCCAACTTGTGGAAATCTTACTTGGAGAACCCTGCTTCAATGCTGCTAGACCTTAAATAAAGGAAACCATGGCTAGAATATGCCTTTAAACTTTGTGGATTAGACTGAATAATTACCAAAGCTGGCTCTGCTAGCACGTGCCCTTTGCTACTCACATTATATAATAATTTTATGCGGTTAAAAGTTCTCAACAGCTGATATCAATCTATCAATTAGTTGTTACTTCTTTTAATTAATAGTGCTGTAATTTCTTCTACAGCAGACTGTCAAATTAATGGGTCATGGCGCAACTTCTGAATATGGTGATGGAATGTCTTTCTTTTGCCCTTTATAACACATACGGTTGTGAGGCTGGCGTGACCGAATGACACTGATCTACATCTGCAGTATTTATAATCTGATTAACCTGCTTTGAAGGGAAATACTCATAGTTCTTCCTTGTTGGGGACACAAATTTATTTTAACAAATCATATCCAAATTCCCAAAAGAAGTTATGCAAAAATCATATACAAATAAAATGCCTTTTATGCTTGTGCTGTAAGATGTCCAGAGAGCTTTTTGTTTTTTAACTGAGTAAACCTCTCAAGTCTTTTGCTAGTCCACTTTTTCCTGGCAATTACTTGCACAGGTAATCAAATTACTCTTAATCAAGTTATAAATGAGAGGCCATATTTATTCAAATGCTTATTGATAACATTTATTGATCACTATCAGGGCCTTAATACTTTCTAGAATATCCTGTATTTTTATAGGCTAGAAGTAGTTGCAGTCCTTAAATACTTTCCAGTTATTTTTGTTTCTTATAGAAAGCATCTGTCTGTTAAAAAAAAGAAAAAAGAAAAAAGGAAGATCTCATTTGTTATTCTGTCATTAGGTAAGCCTGATGGTAAGCAGAACGTGTTCTAAAAGCTTGCATCACCTTGCATTATTGATGTTCAGGTACTAGAATTTGACAGATTAATCAGATGGAACAAAGAATTAACATTAAAAAGATACTATGTGAGATAAGGACTTTTTAAACTCATATACGAGGCACATAATGAATGGGTTCAAGTTAATGCCTTCAGAACAGACAACAGTTACGTGGCTTTAAGGTAAACTAAACAGATGATGAGGATTGCACTGGTTATTTAACAGGAGATATGAAGAAAACTGTTGGATATAAATACCTTCTAGAAACATAAGTTGCAAACAGACACAAGAAAAGACAGTTACATGGCCTTAAAGATTAATTTGTGAGGCACAAAATGGCCATTTTCTCCTTTCTTTAGATAGATCAAAAACTGCCTCTACAGGAGTATTCCCCAAAATTGTAGACCAAAGTTGTCTATTGCATTTAGCTGTGAAGATACAAGACGTAAGCTACCAGAGGCAGAATCTCTGCTATCCTTGATGCTGAGACTGAGCAAGAGGAAAGCTGGTAATGTAGGGGAGGGAACATGGGAGCATACATGTAAGGTGCTATTTATGTTACTATTGTGGTATAAGGGTCTTTTATATATAGGTCATTTCTTGCAAAGTTTGACTAATATATCATGCTTATCACCTATTTCATTTTTATCAGATTTATTTATTCCTAATAAAAAAAAAATTAAAGCCACAAAGAATTGTAGTAATATTGTTTCTATCTGTGAATTTCATGCAGGCAATCCTGTACAGGTGACTCGAACTTCTATTTCTTTTTATCTTTAAGAACCTACTGCACTCAAGTCTACCAAAAGACCACAGCCTAATGGTTACTTTCCTACGAGTATATTGTTGTGGTAAGGGCTTAGTCTAAATAGTACATTTTTTAATCTGATGACCATGGAGAAAATAAATTGAGAAAATATAAGTGTATGATAGAAAGCACTAAAGTGATTTTGAAATATATGAGACAGAATAATTTTGATCACATAAGGAGCCTGAAATTTCTTTGTCTCTCAAAACTCCAATGAAAGGGAGTATTTTTTTTTTCCTAGCTCTAGTTATCTGTCTTTTTTAAGGAGGAGGAAATTGAGTAGTTAGGTTTTTAGTTAATGACTTTTTTAGATCAAGAAAAAACATTGATTAAAAAACACTGTGGGGATTGAATCTACACCAAAACTGAAAGAAGAAATACCTATACCAAAGAACGTGTTGGATCATTTTTTGCTTTTGCATAACTTCAAAAAAAAAAAAAAGCTTAGAAGATGGAAAGCTAAAGCAGTTAGTGTCTTTTTAAATAGGTATTGGTGTTTAGGTAGCTAGCTGGTCACGGACTGGAGAGGGTTTTTTTGGTTATAAAGTTCTATGTGGTAATGCTAGAATTTAAGGCTAATTAATAATGAGGAAAAATTATTTCTACTGAGAGAGGGTTATAACCAAATGAATGATATTTTTAAAATTTCATCTTCATGTTTTATACTCCAGTGCAAGAACTGGTTAGAATTTTCCAGTTTTATGGCTTCTGCCTCAAATAGTGACCCGTGATTATTGCTGTCTCTCTCTTTCCATTTGGTTGAAGAAAAAGCTTCTGACAGAGTTGTTCTCCCTTTATCTTCTCCAAGGGCTCTTTGAAGAAATAGAATGTTAAAAAATATTTCATGATTGGAAGCATGAGAAGGGGTGAGTAATAACCCCTCTGCACATCCTGATAAAGATTACTTTTCTGGCTGGACTTGGATAATTTGCACTAAAATTCTTCAGCAAGAGAATTCTTCAGCATGGGCAAAAGTAATGAGTAAAATACGTAGTGATGTAATACTTTTTCTAGTCTAATTAGTCAATGTTGCTGTTTAATAGCACTTTGAAGCTCAGTTGTCTTGCAGAGAAACATTACTAGAGTAAAGCAAGTAATTGTCATTTTGAATTCAAAACTAGCTTATTCTTCTTTGTGGAGCATAACAAGTACTCCTTTGTTCTCTTTGTTCACAATTTGTAACTTTTGTTAATGGGAGTCCAGGAGTTTATGCGAGTCCAGTCACGTTCAGCAAACTGGGAAGACATTAAGTAAATGCTTGGGGGTTTTGCAGAAGTGCCTCATGTGATACCTTCTATTCTCAGCATAGGTTAAAATTAGAACTAGACTGACACTGCGTTGGAGTCTGAGTGAGAGTTCTAAATGGTTTTGGTAGTACAGACAAGATTCTTAATTTATCTCTGCTCTTGCCCAGAAAGCAATGAGCCACAGAAAATCCTTGGAAACACCAAATAATTGAGGTAAGTAGTTGTTAAACTCTTTCAGATGCTTGGAGGTGAAGTTGTTGGGAGATCTGATTACTTGGGAGTAAATTTGCCGTTGTTTTACAGCCCATACTTGGGAGTTCACTTCTGAATTGTTGGCCATGATGGCATGATTATTATGGTTTTTATTTTCCTGACAAATAAGAAGATCTAAGAACAAGAAGCTTTTGATGGTAGTCCTGTTATTATGTAATTAAATCTCCTTGAAAACAAAGTCATATACTTAGGCCCTCTTTCATATTTCATGGTTCTAAAGCAATGTTTATTGAATAATATGCTTTCCACAGCAAAACAGAGTTGCCCAGTGTAAGCTTTACTAAAAATAAGTATTGTTTTGACTGTATAGTCCCATACTGGTTTTAGTAGTAAAAGGATTAACAAATACCTCTTCAGAGATCTGCACCGCAATGTCTCTTTTCTGCACAATTCATATAAAAAGATTTCTAGTTTTCTACCTAAAAAAGCTTATAGTTCAAAAAAATGTCTCTAAACAACAAGAAATGATAGATCAGGTAAATCACTTAATCTCAGTAGAAGTTTAATCCTGAAAAATAAGGCAATTTAAATTGTAACCGCTAATCAGAGCAAAAAACCTAGTACAATGTCTTAGTCATTACTGTTGCATATTGGGATGAGGAATGGGAAAGGTAGTTACTATGAGGACCACTGAAAGAGAAGTTAATCCTTCAAACTAGAAATGTGATGACATTTATGTGGGGGAGGGAAAGAAGATACAATCCTATCTTTACAGGAAAAAAGTCGATTGCTTTTTAGGAACCCAAACGCCAGACTGCATTGTGCCACACTGTAGTTGCCATTTGCATCACCTGTGAAATCCTGCCATTTTTCCTTAACAAACAGAGAACAGTTAAGAATCCTTAATATTAAAGTATTGGACCAGATTCTTCTTTAGTCAAGCATTACAATTTGTTTTTATGCTGTCTTTACAACAGGAAGCAATCCTGACAATTTACATTTCTTATTATTTGCTTGCCTATGCATTTTTAATTAAGTGATTTCAGTATAATCAGACTTCACAAATTACTATGTTAGCAAAAGACATGGTAAACATAAAATACAATGATTGACAGTTTGAACACAAAAACGTTCACTAAGCAATTGTGGCGTATCCATGGCACACAAAATTATAGTGGAATAAATATGATAGAAAAGATTGCTGTAAAAGACAGACCTGCAGC